AATTACACATGGAGCAAACAGCCCAGCATAGAGTGGACCAGCACCACTGAGTTTACATCCAGAAAAAACCCAATGGAATGAAAGATTCATGAGACTGTGCAAGAACGGGTTAAAAGAGAAGTCTCCACATGTGTTTCCTGCCTGCCTGCTGCATCTGGGTCTTTGAAGCTGGTGAGCTACCGATGAAAATCAGCCTCCATGGTCTGGAAATGTTCATGAAGTTCTTCTTTTGTGGTTTCAGCAGTGATGAAGGAGACACAGAGTTCAGATCAGATCAGAATAAAAACCTCAGCGAGGTTTCTTCTCACCTTCCTCTGCAGTCTGACGCGTTGGCCACACACAGCAGGATCTATGTTTTAGAGTGCAGTCGAGTGTCACACCACCTTCAAAAAAAGTGTGTGTGTGTGAGATGCAGCTGCAAACCACTTGTTTCTGGGCTAATCTCAGACAGGAAGTGTTTTCCTTTGGCAGCAGCATTTTAACCAGAGAAGGTAACATGGCTTCACTTAAACACCGACCGCAGCATGTGGACACCAGGCATCAGAGGTCATATGATTTGCATTTAATGGCCACTTCATTAGGTACACCTGTTCGGCTTCTCGTTAATACAAATATCAGAGAACAAATGCTTTGTAGATGGCAGAGGTCCGACTGAGTCAAGTTGATAGGAAGGCAACAGAAACTCAAATAGCACTTGTTACAACCGAGGTCTGTGGAAGAGCATCTCTGAACCTTCAAGCTGATGACAACAGTAGCAGAAGACCACACTGGGTGCCACTGCTGTCAGCTAAGAACAGGAAACTGAGGCTACAGCTCACACAGACTCACAAAGAGTTTAAAACATGGACCCTTCATGCCTGTGTCACTGTACAGGCTGCTGCTGGTGTGATGGTGCAGGGGAGATTATCGTTTTAACTCCACAGCCTGCCCGAGTGCTGCTGCTGACCACGCCCATCTTTTATGACCTCAGTGCAGTGTCTTCAGTAGGATAACAAAGCTCCGAAGTTCCTTTCCTATCCCTCAGTTCTCTTCTCTCATTTCTGCTGTAAGTATAGCCACGATCTGACTCTGAGAAACCCTCTCTGTGATTAGAATAACAGTCTGACTCCTGACTCTGTCGTGTTGGTCTGATGCCACGTTTGCCACAATTGCAGGACTGCTTAGTCAGCAATGTTCTGTTACTGAGGCACGGCATGAGTGTAACAGGTGAACAATGGCTGCAGATTGATTTAGGATAAGCCTCTGATTAAAGTGTCATCTGAACATAGTTTCAATGGAAAGACAGAATAAGGAACTCTGACCAAAGCAGTTCAATAACACTAATCATCTTTAGGTGAGGATATTTCAGCTTGTATTACAATTTTCACAATTAGGCTAAACACAGACTCAGATAACAGACTGTCGGCAGTTTGAAATGTTTGAAACTCAAAAGTCTTTGTATAAAACCAGTTCTCCAAAGTAGCTGGACCAGGAGCACTGCTGGAATAAAAGCTTCCAAATGGTCACGGAGGGGTTGGTTGGTTTATTGCATGTTGTTTGTGATCAAAGGCAAAAGTCTTACTTGCCAGGAGTGAGGATTGGAGTCTAGGAGGAGTACTGGCCTGGCAAAAAAAAAAA